GGAAGGAAGGAAGGAAGGAAGGAAGGAAGGAAGGAAGGAAGGAAGGAAGGAAGATATATTTACTATACAAGCATTATTGCATTGTATAGTAAAAACAATACAGTGTTTTTATAGTTTGCTATATATTATGATACAGTATCACTACTGTTTTAGCAAAGGAGTTCATGAAAATGACTTAAAATTAGTAATTGATTAATGGAGGTTTTTTCAAAATTTATATATATATATATATGTATGTATGTATGTATGTATATATAGTTTTATTAAAATGTTTAAAAGAGAAGACAGAAACTAATACAAACTAATATAAAATAAGAAGAAAAAAGAGAAAGAAAGCAAAGAGAAAGCAAAAAGTGCAAGAAAAGAAAAAGAGTTAAATTTGATGATTAGACAGGATAGATTATAGAAAGAGTATCATGATGTAACTTTAGAGAGAGGTGGAAATATAATGTACTTATAATTGCTATGAAGAATATCAGAAGCTACTTCTTTGTATCTTTTTTCTTTGTTTTCAATTTTTTTAACTTTTTTTTCTTTTTGCTTTCTCTTTGAGTTTTCTTCCAAATTTATGATTGTAATTTATGATTGTAAAATGTAATAAAATTACATTTCATTATGAAGCACCGTATTTATCGGCGTATAACACACACTTTTTTCCTTAAACTTTGGGGCTGAAATCCTAACTGCAGGTTATACGCCGATACTCAAGCGGCAGGGCTGGGAAAGTTGAGCCTTCATTTGAGCCAGGGCTGTAACCGGGGCAGCTCCGGAGGCGAGAGGTGGGTGAGTGAGTGAAAACCGGCACTCCCCATCTTGCATGAGTGAAAACCGGCGCTCCCCAGCGCTCACGAGAGCGAAAACTGGAGCTCCCCAGCTGGGGGTGTGAGCTGGGGAGTGCCAGTTTTCGCTCGCACGAGCGCTGGGGAGCGCCGGTTTTCCATTACGCGGGCGCTGGGGAGTGCCAGTTTTCGCTGGTGCAAGATGGAGAGCACCGGTTTTCCCTTCTTTGCCCGCTGCTCACCTCCTGCTCTGTGGAGCTCAGGTGCTTGCGTGAGCGATGGGGAGCACCGGTTTTCTCGTTCGAAGAGGTGCTTTTTCTTTCATATGACGTATTTACCTTACAAGTGGTATAAATATTAATAAACAAAAAGTTCATAGCTCT